CCCCCAAACCCCAAACTCCTCTACGACCTTAAATTTTGAAATTCTGCTATATAACTCTACCAAATTTGTCTTACCCAGAGAAAACCCGTGACCTTATGACCTCTCTATAGCCTGTCCTCAACTCTGTCTGAGCCGAGGACAACACCACTATTAAATTGGAATCTTTGGTTTTATGACCAGCGTAAAAGACTTCAATACTTTGACCACCTGTTTCCATTCCACTTTGAAGTCGAGGACAAATCTGTTCTGGTGATTAAATTGTATCAGTTTAATAGGAAGAGTGTCATACGTTGGACTAATAAGTTTTCATCAATTTCCAGATTATCCGATATAACATATTGTATTGAGAAGAGCCAATATCAGAAGTAATAATTTCACGAAAGTGTAGTCCAATATGTTTGTTTCGTGATCACAGGTAACTCAATCGTGAACAATTTATCACTAATACATTCTACTGTAGGTGAAACATGAATTAATGTTCAAGCAATTAAGTACAGATACGTCACGGTGAATAAGTTATGAGCAATCTACACTATGTCTACGTGTGTCTGGGTTTTTTACTTCCACTTATCGGTAAAAGATGTGCATTGATTAGGTTGCCTTACAAGCATCAGCTATAGGGAATTTCCATTTAGCTCAGCGGTAGAGCATCGGGCTGGAAAGTCAAGGGTCGCGGGTTCGAGGCCCAGTGACCGCACTTTCTTTATCACTATTCCTCGTACTACTACATATTCATTGATATTTATGATTTTTAATCACAAGAATGAAATAAAGTGTTAGATGTCGACAACTAAAGCTTGCAGATTAAACAAATGATGGGATGGATATTGACTGTAAATGTTATCTCATCAGGATTTAATTACTGTTTATCTCCTCAGGATTTAATTACTGTTTATCTCCTCCGGATTTAATTATTGTTTACATGTAATTGTTACTGTACTCTACACACTTGTACCCACATCATGTGATGGGTTCCTGATAAATCTAGAAATCAACATGTTCATTTCCTGGTTAGCTAAAACCGAAATTGCAAAATGCATTTTATTCATTACTGTGAACTAATATAAAGATAAAAAAATCAAACTATTAGTTAAGGGAATTAAAATGGCCATCATAAAGAGAGCACTTGCTATACTTGAGATATTGACAAAAGAAAGAAAATATTTGTAGCGTTGTGGAAAACATATCCTAAAGTTGACAGAGCTTTTAGCTTTCCTGTAGACATATGGGTCCCTGCCCACCCTGGATGTGCTCATTAGAATACAAGTCAAAGGCAGGTCTTGGCCATTGAGGCGAAAAAACATACATTGATAAAGGGAATATGTAAATATTATCTCAGCAGATCAAAGGTTTGGGAGAGATAGCTATCACAGACCGTTAACTCCTACATCTTCTGCACCGAACAGTGAGGTCTGGCGGACTCTCAATAACTGCATTCTCGTTTTCCCAACCAGACTCATTGTATTCAGATTATAGCTTGTAACGATCTTCTAAAGCTTCAAGATTTATCATAAACTTCAAAAATGCCCATAGTCTTGTTTCTGTGTACACAGATGGTCTCAATAAAACAACACACATCCTGTGCTGTATTAATTGGAGTAGCATATTCTACTTTCACTTTGTATGTATAATATACTGCTAATTGAGAAAGGCAATCAGTCTCCCCAAGGGAAGTCCATTTCATGATTTGCCAATAAGGTATTGATTGAACTCAAACATGTGAAATGCTTTAAGAAAATTTGATGGATTTCTTTTTCCTGTATTTACAAAATTCATCCTAATTATTCCATGATTTTTTTTATCTTGCAAGATATAACTTCCGATGTGATCAATCATTTCTTCATTCTGCAACATCACATTTAAATAAATTGTTGTCAAATAGCAATGGTTCCACGTCAAGTGCATGTAAAAGCCATTTGACAATCGTAAATACAAAATGATTGGATCAAGTCAGGAGCGCTCATGGAAAGTATCAGTTGACTAAATAACTGCATGTGACTGGACTTAGTGGCCATTCCAATGTGTCTGCCCACTCCCTTTTCTAGTTTGTTGACTGTCTAATGGCTGTGCCGATATATTTACCAACCCCTATCATAAGTACTTTAGGGAACTGATGCCAGATTGGGAGTGATGAGAACAAAAGACAGTCTATTGTTAGATGATATGTAGATTGTCCTCCTGTACTCCTTTTAATACGATTTTTTACCAAAAAAATGAATGTAGTCTTCATCATTTCAACATGGGGCCAGCTTACACGTCAATTATTGTTTAAAGCAAACATTACAGTATTATTCATAGGCATGTCAAACTAATATGCCTTTCGAGCAAAATTCAAATAAATTGATTGATTCAAAAAACAACATTCCATGCTTCCGTAGTGACTGTAAAACTGCCGTTCTGATTCTCATTGGTGAAGAGTCTGTTACTGGATCTATTGCTCCTTCGTAAAACATCGTTATTCTTACACACGATTAGTCATAAATGTCAAAATTAATTTTCTTATGTTCATTCCAGTTAAATTCCGAGTTCTGGTTATAATAATTATAATAATTCATATTTCTTTTGAGTAGATCTTACGAGAGCCAGTGAAACTCCCACAAATATATTTTATTTAGGTTATTAGTATCAACACTTGCCTGAGTTTTTTTTACGACCACCAAGGGTTACTGGTACATTTTTACAGTGTTAATGATGTGATGAAAGCAGTGAAGTGGATAGAGAGACAGACACGGGGCCAACCCCACTGAGGGATCACTGCCCCGTCAGTAACATAAGATATACTTCTGCCATCTTCATCCAGTGTTCTGTAATTGAACATTACCGTATATAACATAACAATCGCCACC